ATACACAGTTTTAGTATTTCAGTTTATTATTCAATATGCAGTTGCGTATAACCAAAGTTTACATAATAAATGTAAACTTTAGTGTAAATCTAAACTTTGGTGTAACCTAGGTAGGCACTTATTGTTTTTGAGAAAGCAATACTTATGTTTTTTACCTGTTTAAAATGCCAGCACGAGTAAAACAGCATTCATCCGTCCAGAGCACTTTGTTAATAAAGTTCTGCTGCACTTAGGAACCAATTGCAAAATTCAAGACGATTGGGGAAATCAGCTGCTTCTAAAGCTTGAACTTTTTGAAAATGTGTTATGTTAACTCCTTTGCGGGAAAAATGCGGGAGATATGGAGGGTGGTAGATTTGAATAAACGCTTTAAATTGTTAATGGTTTTGTAACCGTGTGTAGTGTATTTTGTATATTTGGGTATTTAGTAGTGTGCCGACTTTTTTATTTGATAAAATACGGTGTGCCTACAAACAGGCAACTACCTTTGCTTTATTTATGTTCTTTTAATGAAAGTTTACTTCGAGAAGTCAGGCTTGTTAAAACATTCTGCACTAAGTTAATACAATTGTTAAAATTATTTATAATAAAATGCAGCATGCTCCTTTATTTACTTGAATACGTTTAGCAGTAAATGTGAACCACACATTATGATGTGAACTTGGCAACTCTGTTCGCTTCAGCCGAACATTACGTTACAAAATTTTCCGAGCATCCGGGCATCTGCCAGGGCCGCCCTCGTAGCGGGAGTTATGGGTTGATTTCCTTCATTTTTAAAAGTCGAGTAAAATTTTTTTTTTCCGATTTTCTGTCTTTATTAAGCCTTCCGAATACGTGGCTAAAATTAATGACATTATGACTGAATCACCCTGTATATTATACTCTTATTATAAAAGCATCAAGGTCAAAAATTAGAAACCGCATTTTCGAGTTACAATTATTTCTCCAAAAAATTACCTAAACCGAGCGCAACACACTCTCAACTTTACGCTGCAATATTTCATAATCTTACAAAAAGCTTATCGTTTCGGTGCTTCACAAACACCGTACACCATAGTGCTTCTAATCAGTGCAAAGGTGATTTTTAGACAACTGGGCCAGTGCAGGGTATAATAAAAACTATTTCAAGTCATACAAACTTTTAATAAGGCAAGTGTTAGTGCCTACAGTGCGTTTTAGGATCAATCAGAAACACAAATTAGAACATGGCTCATCCACCCAAAGCAGATCGAACTCACAACGGAGGAAGAGCGCAAATCTCTGCTTCTTTCTTTTACGACTTTAAGGTCTAACGTTAAAAATGAAGCGTATAAGATACTGAAAACCCCTTCACCACGAGCAGGTAACTAACATCCTGGCACCGAGGGTAAAACGGACCCAGGTTGGTGCGATCGTTCCGAATCCATTATAAGGGTGTACTACTCTCTCATGATGCTAAGGGAGAGCAGGTCAACTCCACCGAGAGCAAGCCAAATCGAATAAAATCCGGATCATGGCGCCCGACCTGGGGCCATGAAAAGAAAAACGACCGACCTACCGACTTACGTAAATCCGCGGCACGGTGCCCAACGCGAAGTTATGTTGCTAAACGAACAAGAGACCTACCAAAATCCAAAATCCAGGATATTACATTCGAGCATGCTCCAGCAAGAACTTGTCGCTCTCGGACAAATATACTAAAGGTGAATAGCAAATATATCGTAAGAAGAAAAGGATAAGATAAGAAATAAAAAAAGCTAACATCTGAAAAATCATGTTAATGATGACCTGATAAAGCCGGAAGAGGAAATGAAAATTAGATAACGAAAAGTGTAGAAAAAGTGTAAAAAGTTGGCAAAAATATGGTCACAACTGATGGAAACGGTATGGAGAAGAAAAAGGAATATGGAAGATCAGAAAAGCAGACAACTCGGACGAGCCCAAGAAAATAAAAATAAAAATAAATAAAGCAATATATATTTGTAAACAAGTAGGTACATGAAAAAAATGATGGATTAAAAGAGGAAATATGGAATGTTAGAGGAACATATCAAGACGCGGCATTGAAACAATTAGTGCGAGAAATAAAGAAATACAATTATGATGAGTGCAAGAAACTTAAAAAAGAATGTGGAAATTGATGTGCATATATATTTTAACAGTGGGAGGAAATAAATAGGGTGCTGAGGTTTTTAGTCAGTGCTTTTTTTTTGTAATTTGTAACTAGCTTGATAAGCTAAAAAACACTTACTTACTTACTTACTTTAATAAAAAACAAATTAATTGTTAGTGGAGTTTAAAGCTATATCAGTAAGGAATATGTTGTATGGAGTTGAAGAGAAAATACCAAAATGTATCTTTCATAATTGTACATGCACTTACGAAGGAAGCTCAAATAGAATCAAATGAAGATTTTTATAGAATACTAGACACGGAGTACAAAAGAATACCAAAATAGGAAAATAATTTTGGGCGATGCAAATGTAAAAATAGGAGAAGAGAGGAAATGTTTAGACCAACAATTGGAAAATTAGTCAGCATTAAACAACAAATGAAAATGGATATTTATTAATAAATTCTGCAAAAAAGAAATAAATATTAGTGGAGAGTACATACTTCCCAAAGAAGGAGATACGTAAAGGTATCTTCAGATTGTCAGATGGAGTTTATGTATTACGTTCTAATAGAAAGAAGTGAAATAGGTAATGTATGAGAAATATTAGAAGTTGCAGGGGACCGGACGCACATTAGGTCCATTCTTTATTAGGAATAAAAAATGAAACAAAAAATTCCCATTGCGAAGAATAAGTAAGGGACGCTAGAAGCAACAGCGGAATAGTAAGCTTACAAAGTAAATAATGAGAACAACAGAAAATATCAAAGTACAGAACAAAAAGCAAAGATGGTTTGACGGGAAATATGAGATGGAGAGAAAATAAAAGATAGAAAAAGAATTTACAATCAAGAAACATTGAGAATGATTACAAGAAAAATGGGTGTATTATACAGTTTCGAAGGAGTAGATAGTTTTATTTACTTAGAAATGGAATTACATACAGTGCTATTTTTAAAACCTGACATAGGCCAACTTTTTTATTTGAAGTGATAGACTAGTACTTCCAAATGCAAAGTTGTAGAAAATAACTTGATTAAGAAAAATTTACAATTAATTCTTTCCGGTGTTGCCAGATTTCTGCAGTAGCTACTAAAACGATATTTTTATAAATGGCAACACAGTATTTTTTTAACATAATTTGACAAACCTTCAAATTCTAAATAGAAAATGTTAAGTCACATTTCTTTATTGGAGTAGCCGTTTTAGAACAGTCAGCGAAAACAACGAAAATAATCTGTAGTCGGATGGAACCAACATAGCAACAGTAGGTCTTGGAAATTAAACAAAAATTGTGTTGTTTGAAAGGAGCCGTCATTATTGTGCTGCCGTTGTGTTATTTTACAACTGTTTATTTAAATGTGTATGAAAATAACGTTTTAATGCAGTTGTTAAGATGATTTTGAGCGTTTTGCGAATCCTTGGGCACACACTGCCAGTTGATTTTAGTTTTATTAAGTTACTTCTTAAAAACTCCGATTTGGAAGAGACTTATCGGGTTGTCTTGCGTGAAATTCAGCGCACGCATTGCGTAAGCTTAAGCCACCAACATGAAGAAAAATTCATTCAACTTTCTCTTATGGATTAAATAACTGATTAATCATAGCAACTGAATTAAAACGTTATTTTTTATACACGTTCAAATACAACAGCTGTCAAATAATACAATAACAGTACAATAATGATGGCTCATTTAAAACAACACAATTTTTGTTTAATTTCCAAGACATATGTTAGCTTCTTTTAGTTTCTGCCGGCTACAGATTATTTTGGTTATTTTTGCTGATTATTCTAAAACGGCTACTTTAATAAAGAGATGTGAAATAACATTTTCTATTTAGAATTTGAAGGTTTGTAAAATTATGTTAAAAAAATACCTTGTTGCCATTTAAAAAATTATCGTTTTAATAGCTACTGCAGAAATCTGGCAACACTGGAAAGAATTATTTAAACATTTTTCTTAATCAAATTATTTCCTGCAACTTTGCATTTGGAAGTACTAGTCTATCACTTCAAATAAAAGAGTTGGCCTATGTCAGGTTTTAAAAAATAGCACTGTATATAGAAAACCAAATATGCAAAATGAAATATATACAAGAATAATGACCGGAAGCAAATTAAAATAAAAATTTATAAAACAATAGTAAGACAGACCTACAGTATTGTACGAGTGCCAAAAAATATTTGGAAATAGGGAGAAGTAGAAGGGAGGAGGACCAAAGGCAAGGTGGAAGGACAAAGTAATGAAGAATTTGGAAATGTAACATAAACGCTAGAAGGAAGGAACGAAGGAAAAAAGTTTGAAGGAGCAGTAAATCGAGTCATGGGTCCATTCGTATAAATTTTTTCCACAGTTGGAAAAATACCAATAAACATGGAAAGAACGTAAACTATAACACAAATAAGGGGAAAAAACTTGTGTAGAAATAAGTAGATTAATCTTAATGCTAGTGTACCTTTTTTCTATGAATATATTTCTACATGTCCCTGTCTTCCCTAAATAACATACCCAACTACAACCAAAAATTGAATAATTATAAGCCTTTAACATTACAAACTTTTACTTTTATTAGTAGAAGAAGTAGCAACGGAGGACAAGGTAAGACTGTAAGACGATGAAGGTCTCCAATATTTCAATTCAGTCTTACCTGACAAGCAATATTAATTTCAAATATTTTTTCAATTTCTACACCACTGAATGTCGTAGTATTTCATAGAACCAGATTAATGTTCTATGACTGTTGCAGTTGCCACTATGAACGTGTCAATTAAAAACCATTAACAATATTTCTTCGAACCGATAGGTAGCTGCATATTGAAACGTTGAATGCATGATAATATGATGGTTTCAAGGCTGAGATTTTCTAATTCCGTAAAAGTAAGTAAGTACAATTTCATCAATACTTACGTATATCCTGCTAGTATATTCATGAGGCAGGTTTTCCCCGAGCCGGAAGGACCCATAATGGCGGTCAGTTCTCCTCCAGAGAAATCCCCATTAATATGGTCCAACAGTTTTTGAGTTTCTGAAGTAAAATAGAGAAAAAATAGTTAATACTTATATAAATTTGAATATTATCTAATGTATAATGTGGTTTAGGTTCCAAACTCTTACCCTTGTCTTTAGCAAAATATGAATATAATGAATTGCAGCTACAAAAAAAACATAGTGTAGTTAAACTTTCATTTAATAATACAACTAGCCTTTATGATTTGTTTTTAAGTTATAGGCATATGAGTAACTAAATAAGAGGATTTATTTACTTGTCTTTCATAGGAAGCACCACTTGCTCCAGACGCAACTGGCGCCATCTTACACCCGTTCTGCAAACAAATAGCAGCTGCAACACAAAACAGAAACGGCAATGACCGTGCTATCAGTCTTTGGTTTGAGAATGTAATTCAAAAACTATGCAATAGATGTCGCTGCCTAATATGCTTTATTACGCTGCAGTTGGCGGCAAATTTAAATATACCATCATATTCAGAGTGCAACTTATATATGGAATAAAAATCATAATCATTGACTACAAAGTTTTGTATTGACTAGATGTTTTTTACAAAATTATGTAGTCAATGATTTTATGAATATCATTTCAAGCCATCAGCCGTACCAAACGATGCTGGCAGTGTATGCGACAAAGCGTCCTACTGCGCAAGAAAGCTATGATTGCCGCCAAAACTCATCAGTCGTATCAGATGGCGCCGACCATTCATGGCCCTTCATCGTCTAGAAGCCGCCAACAGCGCGGAAAGGTGCGAAAATCTTCACCCTCTTTCGAATTTCGGCAAAATTTATTAAGTCCGAGAAATTCGCAATTCAAACTACAAAACGGCCTTAAGGTCATCATTAACCAAAAGGATTTCCAGCACCATAACCCTTTGGGGATGCCCACAATGCCATGCTCCAAATTATTTCATTCATTAATAATGTAGTTATTGTTACACACTATTTATTGTAAATTAATAAAAAATTTTTAATAAATATCACAATTTTTTGTATAAATCAAATTCCTAATTTCCAGGCTTCTAAAGCTTCCATACAGACATTCTAAGGAGGTCATACACATATAAACTTCAGTGCCTTAGCCCAGCATACTATGGACACTGATAATAAATACACAAGGGTACTACCATATTCGACTGTGCTCTCGTAAAAGTAAGTTATTAGTGCAAAAACAAAGGTTCAGTAAAAAACCTCATAAACAAACGCACAATAAACTGGATAAACTAAAGCATATTGCAATGTAAAGTGCGTCTTTCACTCACTTCGATACAAGCGTGAGGGTGCACGACCAACTTTAGATGTTAAGGGATAATGAAAATGAGATAACCAATCAAAATCCGCGACAATCTGTTATAAGTTAGCTAAGCTAACTATTGTTTAGGGCAATGAGGTGTTTGCATAAAAAACATAATTATATAGTGTTTTGTCATTGAATTTTATACTGAAAGTTAATGATATTTGCCCAAACAATTTCGTTAATGGCTAGGAATTTTACAGCGTACCTAATTTTGATATAGCTGTCCGTCACATTCGTTTTATTTTTGCATTTTTTAAATTATCAGTTAAATAATGATTTGATGCAAAAATAAAGATTCAATATCAAAAAATAAGCCTTTTAATCTGTGACTTTTCGAGATGTTAAAGTAATGAGTCAAATAATGAAATTTCTGAGCAGTCATTTTAATTTTTTGGTTTATGTTCCATTCCAACATTTTGGTTTTAACGTGTGTCCCCACAAAACAAATGTAGTTATAGTAAATTTTTCTCATCGTCAGAAGAAAATAAGCATATTCCTGAAATTTCTGAATTTCTATGTAAAATATCAGGTGTCAAAATTACAAAAGAAATTAGCACTATTTCATAAAATTCCTGTAGTTAAATTTAAAAAATAAAATTTAGCATGAAACTGTACCTCCTCAGATATTTATCAGGTGTAGCAAGCCCACAATCCCAAACTGTTGCTGGCCCGCAATTACTCGGTAGACATGAGTTCTTGCCTCAATCCAGTTGTACAAGGTGTTTTTCAAAAATTGGTAATGGTAACAGAATAGTTAATTTTTCTTTGGAGTATCATACATATTTCTTTATACATTTGTACACCTACATAATTTTTTTTTCGGAGGATCACTTTGTTTTTAAGATTTATCTATTGTTAAAAAGTTTTCCGACCTTAAGACAAATTTGTAGTTGGTCAAAGTAAGTAAACAAATTCATAGGCGTCTGCATGGGAAGTGCTTGCCCCCTTCCCTGACTTTGTAGTTAATGTACAAAGGTGCAATTAAATCCGCAAAATTCATTGGTTTTGGTTGATTTTTATTGTATTTGATTAGTTTCGCTTTCATAAGCTGTACTTACTCTTGCTTCTCTAACAAATTTTCTACCAATGTGATCAGTAGTCCGGATTCTATCACTTTTTCATTGAGGGGTCCCCGACATATTGTTGCATTTGAAAAAAAAGTTGGGGGTGGTTTACGCCCTCCTTGAAGGGCTATATTTTACATATTGCTTGAAAAAGGTAATGTATTTACATTCAAACGTTGACGTGTTTCAGAAATTATTCAAAAACTTATTTAGCTCCCCGGTAATGAATTTATTCCAGTTAAAGTCTCCACCCTGTATATAAATAAGTAATATATTGTAACAGGTAGAAATTGACTTAAGCGTTTTTATTATAAAATATACCTAATGGAAGTTAAGTTTAAAATACATCAAGTAATGACATACTGGATAGATGGTGACGAAATAGTAATGATAATTTAGGTGACATAATAAATTAATAAAGTGTTCATAAAATAATGGAATTTAGCAAAAAAAAAATGTTAAATTAAGTAATAATCTAATTAATTGAAAAGGATAGATTAAGAAAAATTGTAATTAGAGATAAGAGTGCAGTGATTTAAAAAAGTGGTGGTTATCAAGGATACGGAGAAAAAATAATGATAATGATGAATAAGTAAGAAGAGGAATTAGTAGATATAAATATTAGAACAATAAAAAGAAGATTAAATAAGAAGTGAAATAAAGTATAGAAGACTAAAAGAAAACCATATAAACTACCAGGGGAAATCAATCGATGAGGAGAATTTAAAAAAAAATTAAACAAGCACAAAGTTATTGCGGTACATTCAAGAAATGATAAAGAAAGAGTTAGGAAAGAAAAATTAGGGTGAAGTCAAAATTGACAGATAACTAACTATAATAGTAAAATTGTCAGGTTAGTAAAACATCATTTGAATTGTAGCCATTAAGAAAGGAAAGAAGCCATATGAGCCATAAAGGTGATTCAGGCAGTTGCAGCCAACAGAGTTGTATAGGACATAGAATGAGAACAAGTCAATAGAGGAGAGATCAAGTGGACAAGAGGAAGGATAATAGACAGGAGATAGATTGCAGAAAGGATATTACTACTGAAAAAACCATAGACAAAGAAAGACAATAAAAGTGTAGATCTAGGTAATAAGAAACTATAAATTGGTAGTATAAGATATTAGAAATAAGTTATCGCAGGCTAGATAAGGGAATTAGTAAGAATTTATAAATGTATACTCTATTGTTTCAATATACGAATTTCAATACCAATTACAACAACACTATTTTATTTTTTTTTTAAACAAAAATTAATGACATATTAAAACATTTTTTTAATAATTAATCTCAATACGTTTTAGAACCGACCACTGAGATGTCATCATGTTCTATTAAAAATTTGTATTATCTAATTTTCAGAAAGTAAAACTATTAATCTAATTGTCATTAAAATAATTAAATTTAAAATCTAATTAAATTCTAGATCAAGAATAATCATATAAAAAAAAAATTACAGTTGAAAATTCAAAATCAAACTAAGTGACATCTAATAAAAGCTAGCCTGGTAAGTAAAGAATATAGTTTATTGCAATATTTTTTACACATACTACAAGAACATTCATAATTTATATTTTTCAAATAACATTTCACATGACAAACATTTTTTAAATAATGCTATAAAACCACACAAAACAAAATAAATTATTTTATAGTATATTATATATATTATTATTAGTATATTATATTATTAGTATAGTATATTAGTTAGTATTAG